CGCCCCCCACAACCAGCCGCCTGCGCCCCCACCCCTCCACCACAACCCCCGCCACCCCACCACCAGCCCCACAACCACCACCCCCACCCCCCGCCCCCCCGCCACCCCCCCCCCCCCACCCCCCCCCCCCCCCACCCACACACACACCACCACGCCGCCACCCGCCCCCGCAGGCAAGACGCGCCTCATCAACCACTTCCTCATCAACGGCGCCTGGTTCCTGGTGGACCTGCCCGGATACGGGTGAGGTGGGGGGCTGGTGGGTGGGTGTGAGTACTGGTGGGTGGTGTGAGTGTGGGTACTGGTGGGTCTGTGTGCACTGGGCGCTGGTGGGTGTGGGTCTGTGTGCGCTGGGTGCTGGTTGTGGTGGTGGTGGCGGGGTGGGGGGGCGAGGAGCTGGTTGCCAGCGGCGGCGGCGGCCTGCGTAGGCGGGCATGCCGGGGCCCATCGGCTGGCCGCGGCTGCCGTGGAGGGGCCGGGCCGTGCGCCGCGGCCTGCCGGCCGCACGGCCATTCCCCTGCCACCTTGTTGCCCAAACGCGGGACCGCCGCTGCCCCGTGCCTGCCCGCCTCACCGCCGCTCTCCCCGCCACCCTGGCCCGCCGCCCTGCAGGTACGCGCGGGCCAGCAAGGGCAGCGTGGTGGAGTGGAACCGCTTCACCCGCGAATACTTTGTGGAGCGGGAGACGCTGGTCACGTGAGCCTCGCACAGCAGCCTGCCCGCCTGCCGTGGCTGCAACACCTGGGGGGCGGCAGCTGGCTCGCCCAGGTCGAGCATGGGAGGGGCGGAGCCTGCGTGCCGAGCGGGTGGCGCGCTGCTGAGGGGCGGCTGCAGCTGCTATGTCCTGTGCTTCACGCCGGTGTGCCCGCCCCTCCTGCGCCTGCATGCCCTCACCGCCGCCTGCGCTGACCCCTCTTCACCGGGGTGTGCCTGCCGGCTCAACCTGGTTAACTGGTTGCTTGACTGGCTGCCTGTCCCCCTCCCCGCAGCGTGCTGCTGCTTGTGGACTCCTCCATCCCCCCCATGCCCCTCGACATCTCCTGCGCCGCCTGGTTTGCGGAGGCAGGGGTGAGCCGGCTCCCGCTCCCGCCTGCGTGCTCCCAGTGCACGCAAGCACACACATACTCTCCCTCTCTGATGATACACACACACACACAGCACACACCACCACCACCACACACCACACACACACCACACACACACGCACACACACCCTGCCCCGCAGATCCCCTTCACCGTCGTGTTCACCAAGCTGGACAAGCGCAAGAAGGGGGCCTCCCCCTCAGACGACAACATTGCTGCATTCGAGCAGGTGTGGCTGGGGTGGGTGGGGGTGGGTGGTGGCTGGCTGTCTGGCTGGCTGGCTGACCCTGGCCGGCCGCTCCCTGCCCCTGCAGCAAGTGGCCGAGGCGTGCGGGTACGCGCCCCCCACCGTGCTCACCAGCTCCAAGAGCGGCAAGGGGCGCAGCGAGCTGCTGGCGCACGTGGCGCAGCTGCGGGAGCTGTTCAACAAGTCGCGGCACGGCATGTGATGCCGCACGCGCTCGGCAGGCGCGGCGCGTGACCGGTGCCGGCGCTCGGTCGCCGTGCGCCCGCGGGGCGGCGCTGGCTGCATGTCCTCAGCCGCCTGCCGCTGTTGCTCAGCTTGAGAGGCTCCCAAGGTGAAAATCAAAGAGTCCCAGCTGGGTCTACACTGCGCTCCCACAGAACCACCGTAGGTACTCAGGCTGTGTGGAGTATTCATTTCATTACATTCAGCAAGGGCTCCCAGGGCCCGTCACCGCGCCCCCGGCGGCATGGGGCTGCCGTGGTGGTGCACCAGCTTCCACACGCCGCCCTGCTTCTCAAACACATTGGTGGCCGCGATCCTGCGGCGCAGCGCGGCAAAGCAGGCAGATGGGCAAAGACAGACGGGAGTTGGACGGCAATATGTCGGGAACCGAAAAACAATCCACGAGAGTGTGTGTGTGTGGGTGGGCAAGAGGCGGGAAGGGTGCACAGTGCATGGCCGCCTGCCCTGCCTAGCCGCCACTAGCAGGCTGCCGCATCGCACCGCACCGCACCTGCCCCTGTTCTGCCCAGACTCTGTCAGCTCCAGGCAGGTCACAAAGGCTTGGCTGCAGGCACCACCGGTTGGCCACAGCTCAGGCTCGGGCAATGGCAACCCAAGGCAGCGGCAGGGCCCTCTTGAGGCTCACCCACCCTCACATAGCGTCTATACATTCACACTTCCGTAATAACCCAACACCACCCCAACACCACCCCGGGCGGCCCACCTGTCGGAGGCAAAGATGCGAACATCCTCCACCTCTATCCGCATGCGGGCAGACCCCAGGATCGCCTTCCAGCTCTCCATCACCTGCTCCAGCACGCGGGCGGCCGAGGCAGGGGCAGGCAGGGTAGGTTGGGAGCAGCAGGCAGGCGTGTTTGACAAAGACCGCCAGCGATCGAGGAGCAGGCCAGCGCATCAGTGGCAGGGCACAGGCGAGGCAGCCGCCGGCTGCGGGCCCTCACCGCTTGCCGCCCCGCGATGCAGCCGCACAGCGGGTGGATGCACTGGACGTGCTCCCCCTTGCCCCACACCTCGGACATGGCGGCCAGGCTGCCGCTCTGCAGGCGCGGACACAAGCCAGGGCAGGCCAGGCGGGCGGGCAGGAGGGTCAGGAGGGCTGACCAAACTAGCTGCATTGAGTGCTGCCTGGGGCGGCGTCCAGCTCGCGCCACGACGCACGGTGCACTGGCAGAGAAGGGGCGAGCCATGCATGCCCATGCCAGCTGCCAGCTGCCAGCCGCACCAGGTGGCCTACGCCCATGCCACATGCCAGCTGCGGGCACCAGGCGGCCCACCTGGAAAGCCTTGTAGAAGCGCTCGTTGGCCTCCTCCACCGCCAGCCGGCTGTCAAACCGGCGCCGCCTGCGCGAGGGGTGAGCAGACGCCAGCGAAGCCGCGGTTCCAGCACTGGTTCAGCTTTTGTCAGAACCAATGCTGTCGGACTGTTGTCTGCTGCTCCAGGGCACGCTAACCGCCCGCCACCACCCCTGCCCAAGCCACAGCACCAGCACCAGCACCAGCTCGCTCACTGTATCACATCTCGCAGCTGCGCAGCCGCCTCGTAGTCCTCGTCGTCGATCACCTGGTCCAGCTGCTGCTGCAGCTTGGACAGCGGCAACTCTTCTGTGTACAGAACCTTGTCGTCGACGCCGCCACGGCAGCGCCAGCCGCGCCGCCGCCCGGAGCGGGGCAAGCTGCCGCCGCGGAGCGTGGCCCCGTGGGCTGCGGACTGCTGCAGCGGCTGGCCAGGCTGCCTGCAGCGCATGCCGGGCAGCGCGGTGATCAGCAAGAGGTTTGAGCGCAAAGCAGGTGTAAAGGCAGGCGCAGGGCGGTGGCACCGGCGGGTGCAGCGCCCACCTGGAGGTTGGTGGAGGAGCGTCATGGTGTAACCCTGGCGCAGGTCGTTGCCGTGGCCTGCAAGAGGATTGTGGTGCGCTGTGGGGCTGCAGGCGGCAGCGGGTAACAGACATGGCTGAGCAGCAGCAGGAAGGGCTGCAGCGGGAGCGCGAGAAGCTCCAATGGAGTGTCGCTACTGCGAATTGAGCGCCAGGCCTTGTCCCATCTTCCTGCCTTCCACCAGGGCGCCGCCCCGTTTAACACTTGCCGCGTTGCCCCTGCACCCCCGCTCGCCTTCAATTCTCACCCACCCGTCCTCCGATCAGGTTCAAGACGCGCACACCCCTGCATGGCTCGCCCTGCACCCCTCCTTCTGGCGATCCTCGCCCTTGCATCGCTGGTGAGGCGCTGCATGGCTTGTCCGCGGCCCACTGACCTGCAGCACCCACATCCGCCGCGGTTGAAGAGCCAGGGAGGGGGCAGGCGGCCGTGCGGGCCTCGAATCCCACATGACCCCATTTGAGTTGCCCCCTGCCCGCCTGCAGGCCTGGCGCGGCGCGGCGACGCGGCTGGATGAGCAGCAGCAGCAGCAGCAGCAGCAGCCGGCAGCCGGCGCGGCGGGCTTCGGCCGGCGCCTGCTGGCGGTGAAGGCGGGGCGGGGCGGTGCTGGTGGCGTGGTCCGCCCGGGCATGGCCCTCCACGAGGCCACCGCAGCCCGGCTCTGCGTCATGCAGTGCATGCAGCACGCCTGCATCTCTTGGCACAAGATTTATATGGGGGAGGCGGCCGGCGGCAGCAGCATGCAGCCGGCGTCGGCCGTACCCGCCGCCGCGGCGGAGTGCATGCTGCAGTGCGGCATGCCCGAGGTGGAGAGCGGCTGCCTGGCACAGGTGCGAGGGAGGGTGGTTTGTGTGCTGGGCTGCAGCTGCCTGGCAGCTGACGCGTGTGCCTCCTGGGTACGGCGCACGGCGCTTCAATGGCGCTTGGTTGCGCCGTGGCGGGCCCATGCGCTGACCCTGCGAATTGATTCCCCCTGCCCCTTGTCCTTTTGCCGCAGACGTACCAGCGCCTGCTGAACACCTCGCCGCTTCAGTTCAGCTGCAGCAGCAGCTGCGTGACCGGCCTGCTGCACAGCTCCTGCGGCCAGTGCAGCGGCACCGGAGGCGGCTGCTCCGCCCTGCAGCTCGCCACGAGCGTGGTGGAGGCCGAGTGCCTTGTGGACGCGGCTGTCTAAAGGCTGTCTAAGGCTCGCGCCGCGCGTCATCCGGCAGCCTGCCTGTCCACTGATCCACTGATACCCTTGCAGTCCTGCTGCCGCAGCCGTGGCACTCCCTGATCAATTTCATTCCCCGCAGCCTGTACCCGCTCCCGTACTTCCATTTCCGGCACTCATTCCGCTCCGCAGCACGCTTTCGTGAGCCACGCGCCCAGCGCCGGCGTGCCCCCCAGCGGCTTTGACTTTAGCATGGCACGTGTCATAACAGTGTCGCCTGTTGCTACTATTGCGCCTCCTCTCTGATTGCTCCGTTGATCTGTTCCAATACAATTACACGGCCCAATGCCGCCCCCAAGGGCGCGCCTTTGCTCGAGCGCTGTGCAACAAAAAACAAATGGGCAAGGGTGGCCCCGGCTCCCAGAAGCCAGCAGCACCTGGTTTGCTGTGGCTCTCAGGGAACAGGGACGCGATAGTAATGGAAAAATATCAAAAACCTTGCCCCTGGAACTTATGGACAGAGCAGCCCAACCAGGCCTCGACAGCCTCCAACTCCGAAAGCCTGGCAGGAGCCTCTCACTTTCGGTCGGCATGAACATAGTCGACAAACACAAACTGGCGCTCCAGGCGCCCCAGCGCCTGCTGCGCCCCGCCCGCCAGCAGCCCAGCCACGCCCAGCACCAGGGGCAGGCTGAGGCTGGCACAGGGCGGCGCCAGCACCAGGCACGGCCCCGTCGCCAACGCCTGCGCGACCGTCACGGCGAAAGCGGCGGCAGCAGAGGCTGACCCCAGCTGCAGCGCCTGCCGCAAGGAACGCACGGAAGACAGCGCCTGCAGGGCACCAGAGGGCGGAAAGATGAGGGGTCTTAGCACCGAGGGACCTAGCCAGCCTGCTCCGAGGCGGCGGGCGGGCAGCAGCGGCAGCGGCTCTACTCGAGCGGGGCCAATACCTGGCGGCACGAGGGGCAGTGCTTGGTATGCTGCTCGTAGCGGTCCAGAACCTCCTGTCGGCTCAGCGGCTTGCTGGCAGCAGCCCCCTGCACGCATGGTAGCAGTCCTTGCTGAGGCCTGGTGGGGCAGGTTTACCTGGCACGAAGCCTATGAGCGGCAGTGCCACAGAGCGGCAGGGATGCACGGCGGGTAGGGCAGGCGGCGCCAGCTCACCATTCCACTACTGGCGGCCCCCGGTCCTGGAAAGTACTGTGGCCCGCCACCCGCATACTCGTCCAGCCAGCGGTGCAGCAGCATCACGCCCCTGCAACACAGCGACGAGACGAGCCCCGTCAGAGAGCTGCTGTGCAAGCAGGCGCAGCCCCGGCAGGCTTCAGGCATGCCCCGCTTCAGCCGCCGCCGCTCCCTCCGCTCACCGGTCGGCCGCCGCGGGCATGAAGTAGGAGCGGCGACCCTCCTGCCGCACCGTGCGCTCCTGCTGGTGGATGTGAACTGCGTCGCCGTCGATCACCTGGTGGGCCCCCAGGTCGGCCAGGAACTGGAAAGCATGCAGCAGCGGGGCCAGCGCGTCTGCGGCGCAGAGCAGGGGCACGTGCGTGGCCGAATCGGGGTGAGCTACGTGGGATGCCTGGCAGTACCACGAGCGATGGTGAGAGGTGGGGAGGTGGTGTCATGGGGTGCGTGGGATCTCAGGGATGGACCCAAGTGCAAGCAGCACAGCAGGGGCTGGCGCCTCGGGTGACCACCACCCCACCGCACGCACCCGAGCGCAGCGCTGACTGCAGAACGGGCGGCAGGCCGGTGGCGAAGAAGGCTGTAAAGACGCGGCTGGTGCCGGGGCTGCAACAGGCGCATGGGAGGAGGGCACAGGCCACGCGTTAGAGCAGCAGAATCAGGGGTGTTGCGCCAGGTTGGGCGGTGAGGCTGGGAAGCGGCGTGCCGGCCGGGGCGGCGCCTCGCCTGACTGGGACAGCGTAGAAGCGCATTGAGAAGCGGGTGCCGCGCGCCGGGACCTCCTGCCTGCAGGCGGGCAGGCGTGCGTGTGCGGGTGTGGTGTTAGGAGTGCGGAGAGGCCGTCGGGGCCAGCTGGCACGGCATGGTCCACAGGCATGCAGGCCGACGACCACCCATGCGCAGCCAGCCACCCATGCGCAGCCAGCCACCGCAAGGCCATGGCACTCACCACACCAGGCCGGGAGGCACAAAGCGGGTGACCGCCGGCACGCTGCCGCTGCCGCCGGCCGGGGCGGCCTCTCCCACATCGACCAGCCCGGGGATCTCCCGTGCTTGCTGCTGGCCCCGCCCTCCCTGCCGCCCCGCCCTGCCCTGCCACTGCCGATCCATGTGCAGCTGGAAGCCTCCCTGGGAGGTGAGCGGCCCCGCCAAGTGCAGGGGGATGCTGCCCGCCCTGCGACATCCACGCAACAAGCAAGCATGCAACAACTCAGCACTGAACAACGCCAGCAAGAACAGGCCTTGTTGTGTTCAATGCTGAGCCTAGGCCCGGGGGAATCATCCCAGCGCAGTCAGGCACGACGCCCTGCTGTGCAAGCTGTGCATGCTGCGCACCTGCTGGGGCTGCCGATGACGCCCGAGTGCGCAAAGTGGATGTGCGATGGGTCCAGCAGATTCTCCAGCAAATACTCGGCGGACAGGGGCAGCTCGCGCTGGTACCTGCAGTACCAAGGCGGTACGAAGACAGCAGCATGGAGATCCAGCAGGCGCACACTTGCGCAAACAGTTTCCACGGCATGCCGGTGCGTGTGTTCTACGGCCCTGGGAACACCCCCCTCATGAAAGGGAGCTCACCAGCCACCCAGCAGGGAGCCGGCGGGCGTGGCGCCGTCGCCGCCGCTCGACAGCAGCTCGGCTGGCAGCGGTAACGGGCGCAGCTGGCTGGCGGCGGCGGCGCCGGGGCCGGCCTCCATCCACACCCACAGCATCCCCTGCGGCCAGCGGGGCAGGACAGGGTTTGGAAGATTGGCTGGGGTGCAGGGCAAGGCTGTGCCTGCTTCCCTTCCACCTGCCATGGCAGGCCGCGGCCTCCAAGTCTCCCACCTGCTCCTGCCTGACAGGAAAGGCGGCCACGCAGCTGCGCTGGCTGCCGCAGGCCGCCGCCTCCTGCTGCGGCGAGTCGGCCTGCGGGATCCTGGCGCAGCGGCCGTCGCCGCCAAACTGCCAGCCGTGGTAGCTGCACTGAAGGTTGCCGCTGCCAGGCTCAATGCGCCCTTCGGACAACGGCACCAGCCGGTGGGGCCACCGGTCCTCCAGAGCACGCCACTGCTGGCTGGGGGCATGGTACCTGCGGCGGAAGGGCGGGGCCACGAGCTGGGCTCAGAGAGGGTGGCGCACAGCAAAGTAGGAGGCTTGGACGCTGCGGCCAGGCGGATCCACTGTCAGCCAGCACAGCTAGCCAGCAGCCAGCCCGCCCGCCCGTTTGTCTGCAGGCCGGCCTCAGGCTGTCTGCTCCGCTCACCACACAACCAGGCGCCTTCCCAGCACTGTGTAGGGAGTGGGCTTGGCTCGGTCCAGGTAGGATACAGGGGCCAGCGGGTACCACTGCTGCTGCCAGTTGAACTGATCATCCGCCGGTTGTGTCTTGCTGCCGCCGCTGGGGGCCACGGTGCTTGGCATGTCGGGTACGGTGGCGGTGCTCTGGTGCGGCGTGGAGGCTGGGTCAGCGACTCGGCGCTCCTCCTTTCCCGCTGGTGCCCCTGTCGCTGCAGCCACACAGCGCAGCCTGGGTGCAGCGGCAGGCCGGCGCGCTGGTATGGGTGCCAGGGAGGAGCGCACAGCCGGCGGTGAGTAGGCCGCAGTAGCGGCGAGGCGCGGGCTCATGGCGGCCGCCTGCTGTCGGTGCGACCAGCCAGGCGACGGGGTAAACCGATATGCGCTTCTGGAATTCGCTAGCGCCGTTCTGCAAAGGTCCAAGGGCCAAGTTTGGTTGATGCCTCCTGAACAGAGCGTGTGCGGCACTGCTGATGCGTTATCGGCTTGGAAGATTAAGCGGGAGTTTGCACACTGCGCAGTCGTTGGGTTTGCTATCGCAAAACCTTGCTAGGGCGCCCGAAGTACATTTTCGGTACTGCAATGGGGGCCAGGGCGGTGGCCCTCAGCAGGCGGTGCACCGTTGGCGCCTATCCGGGCTGCCGCGCTCCAGTCATCTCTGCGATACAGCCAAAACTGGCCTGCGCTGGCAACTGCCTTGTGGGCTTCGAACGCGCGCCTGTGGCACGCTCGCTCTGTGAGCTCGGGGCGGCAGCGGGGTTTGCACACCCGTCTCAGGCTGCAGGGGGCGATCACCGAGCTGCAGGGAGCTTCGCTTATAGCCGCGTCCAGCAGCCGCGGTGAGCACCCCTGGCCCCGACTAGCTGCTGCCGCATCGCCGCCGCAGCACCACGAGCGCTGCCCTGGGCAGGTGCCTCCGCGTCTGCCGCCGCTGCCTGCACCCGGCTCCGCCAGGCGTTGCCCCAGCGACCCCGTGGCACCCCCGTAGCCACTCCACCGACGCACTCCATCCATTGTTGAATCCGCTTGCCCGCTGCAGGCTGTTGCCAGCAACATGCAGCAGGCCCGGCCGGCGGCGGCGGGGCAGGCGGGCCTGCCGCTGGGCATGCCGTTCCAGCTCATCCAAAACATCAACACCCTCAGCGAGCTCAGGTGGGTGCAGGCCAGCAGCATCAGCAGCGCCAGCACCAGCAGCATGGATGGCATGTTTTTAGTTTTGATTTTGGACAGCAGTCTGCAGGCAATGCGTCCGTGCCGCCGCAACCCCTGCCGGCACCCAGCCGGCCACTCCCGCCTGCCCTCCCCGCGCCGCTGTGCTGCCGCAGCGGCATCCCCGTGCATGTGCTGGGCAACCCCGGCATGCAGCTGGCGGCGCAGCAGCTCGTGGCTCAGCGCCTGATGCAGCAGCAGCTGCTTGCGGGGCAGCTGCGCCCCGTCATGCCGGCCCAGATGCTGGCGATGCAGCAGGCCCAGCTGCAGCAGCGCATGGGCGGCGGCGGCAGCGGCGGCGGCAAGAAGGGCGGCGGCGGCAAGAAGCGGGGGCGCGGCGCGGCCGCGGCGCACGCCGCGCCGCCGCCCATGCCGGCGTATACCGCCCCTCTGCAGCCGCCGCGCCCCGCCAACCCTTACGCCGACCCCGGCGGTAAGGCCGCGGCCA